ATCATCATCATCCAACAAAGAGAAGAAGATTTAAAGTGGAGAAAAAATTATTTTTATTAATTATAACAAAAGTTATAAATTTGGAAGGCCTTCTCAATTAAGAGTAGCCCTCCTCTCCAAATAGAGTTACAAAATTTTTCACACCTCTAACCCCTCGCTCTCTACTCCTATTTAAAGTAAACATCAGTGAATGAGAGCCATTGAATTAAAATCTTATCCAAAAATAAAAAATTGTAGCCCTTAATTCGTAACAAACTTTACGTCAGTATCGATACCAGCATCGATAGGGGTATCGATGCCGCCATCGATACCCAGTCCTCTCCTGTTGATGTCCGTGCTTTTCTCTTGTTCTTGGACTTGGGCTTTTGAGCTTTGCCATTTCTTCTTCTTTTTAGCTTTGGGCTTTTGGATAATTTGGCAATTGATTTTCCAATGTGCTTCTTTGCTTTATTTATTCATTTATTCAAAGGGGTTTTTGTTGAGAGATGAGAGTTTGAGATTTATTCTTCATTAACCTGCATTTAAAGATAAAAACAATTATTAGTAGCATATTTATTCATATAAAATAGATAATGAGGGTATAAAATTATAATAAAATATGATTATCAGAGCGGATCATCCACAATGTAGCTGAATCATGTGATTTTAGGCCACATTCTTAGATGTTTATCTAAGACGTCACCTTAGGAACACTTTTCCCTATGTATATATGTATGTATCTATATATATACATACATGTATATATATATATGTATGTATGTATACATACATACATACATACATACATATATACATACATATATATATATATACATACATATATATATATATATATATACATATATATCTTGCATGAATCCTAGATATCATCAATGGGTAGAAAGTTTGGTGGATGGTCCACTTAAGTTGACATAAGAATTTCTCATGAAACATGACCCAAGAGTATAGCTCCATGTAATAAAACCAATTGTTCTAAATGAACATGTCTTTCTAGCTAGCTATAAGTTATCAAAATTGTTAGAACTTTATTAGGGAGAATGTTGTTCTTGCAATATCTCTTGTTTGATAAGTTTGTGAGATGATATATTTTATGAATGAACATGTACAGAATTTTTTTGGCTCAAAACAATATAAAAACCAACACGAACAGTTGATTTCAACCATTAACCATCAATAATCAAGAGGCAACCATCAATGGTCCATACGTCATTGATGGACTATAGTTAGCAATTTATATGTTCTAGAAATGAGAAATCAAACCATCAATGGACTATAGTCAATCATTGATGATCGCTTCAACCATCGATAGACTACAGTCAACAATTTGTGAATTCCAAAAACTAGAATTTGAACAATTGATGAACTACA